CTGCACAAAATTTGACCCAAATCCAGACTCGCTTACTTGTTATACAACCCTGGGCAAGTTGCCACAGTATCCATGTCTGTAAAATGGGTATAAAGTTCTTACATTGAACAGAATTTTTTTCTGAAGCAATACAGTGTGATATACTTGAATACCACACGACTGGCACAGAATAGATGCTCTCTCCACATATCATGCTAAAGGACTGGCATTTTAAAACTTGGCAAGTTACATGGTGCTCATTTTTTGCACACAAAAATTTTCAAGAATGTCACCCGGGGCTTGGTCGACATGGCATGCCTCTCCTCTAAGCCAAAGACCCTCACGATTAAGGTTAAGGTTCGTCAAGCAAACACAAGGTATGCATTTGAGGTCTCACTACACCCATTCAGAGCCAGGCAGTGAATAAAGATCCACGACAACAAGGACACATGTTTGGAAGGACAACAACACGGCGTGACATCAGCACGGGATCACCATGCACTCACCACTCACAAAGACAAAGGGCCTGAAAAATCAGGATACATTGGCAGGAACTGTACCTTTCTGAAAATAGTGAAAGGAGTAATGGACAACACGGTTCCCCAGAGCATCAGCCATAAGTGTTGGAGGAAATCACCCACAATCATCACCCCTGCTTTACGCCCTTCTCTCTGTCTTGGATGACAGGTACAGGTGTGCTGGTTCCAGCCACATCACTATGCCCTGCAGGGAAGGACAGGGTTAAAAAGGTGTGACAAAAGAGTACCAGGCAGCAAAACTCTTCCACCGACAGAAGCAGGTAGGATACACCAAATAAGGCAGGTGTGACCCCAGAGGCTCTGACTGGCTCCTGCTTTCAAGAAGCCCAGAAAACTCAAGCAGAGTGTGAGCAGAATCCCGCCCCAAATCTGAAGTGTCACTGAAGGGCACAGCCTGAAGCAGCTGGTGGGCTTAAGAAACCCCCTACTGAAACTTGGAGAGCAGCCTGGATACAATGATGACTATAAGCCACAAAAACACAATCTTGTGTGAGGCTAGGGGCGAAACATCAGAGTGATGGGCACCTGGAGACCCACAGGGGTGGCCGCAACTCATCTCGGGGATTCTCACTTGCTGGGAGACTCAGTATCCCTCAAGTGGGTCAGATCCCTGGTTCACGCGGCGCTGCCCACAGCATCCCCCCAGCAGCAGGACCTAGAAGGGCACAGATGCTCTGCCTGACCTCAGTGTCAAAGCCAACGCATGTCCTAGTTTCTCTCAGTAGCCACTCCTAGTTCTGTCATTCATAAATCTGTCCAGACCCTTCCTAAATTGCATTTATACCTCCTGCAAGGACCACCTCTTGAGATAATGAGTTTCAGAAGATTATTACCTGCTGTGTTAAGCAGTACTTCCTTTCATTGGTTACAACAAGAAAAAGAAGAATTAGGGGTGAAACAGCAGAGAGGCTAATGTTGCTTTCATCAAGGGACCATCTTGTATTGTGGAAAGCAGAAATGTTCAGCAGCCTGGAACCCAAGGCACTGAAGCAGCAACCATGAACTTAAGAAACTTGATGATTTCAAGTGTTTTGGTTGATAATGTCACACCACATGTGTTTATGAAAAGCAGGACTGGACAAAGGCATAATTTATGTTAGAGTTACCTAGTTAGCAAATGGCTCAAAGAGCACAGAGTTCAACAATGCTCTCAATCACAAAACCCTGTGCTGATTGCAAACAGGCAGGGCAAACGGGAAGATCTGCTAGGAGACAACTGAAATTCACACCATGCCGCTCTACAGAGTCAGGAAAAGGCTCTCCTGAACCTCAGTGGGTGAGAAGCTCCTAGCCCCTGGCTGAGCTGCACCAAGTATCTATGCCAGGCTGAGCCCCTTCAATATAAACACCCTAATTGCAACATGGTACCCTGGACTGATTCCCTGGAACAGCAAAGGAACATGAGTTGGAAAACTGGTGAAATCTAAATAAAATCTGAAGTTTAGTTAACAGTAATATGAAAATATTAATCTTAGTTTTGACAAATGTCAAACCATTAAGTAAGGGGTTCCCATTAGGGACAACTAAGTGAAGGGTAGGCTGGGACTGTTGTACTATCCTTTGACTTTTCTACAAACTTAATATTCCAAAATTTAAAAAAAAAATTAAAGCAAATCTATTCTGTGAGTCTTTAGAGCCACTACACTGGGAGTTGGGAGTCAATAAAACCCATCAAAGTTTTTAAGATTCAGGATTCAGTCTCGGGGAAGAGAAGTCCCTGATACAAAACACAATGAGGGTAGGAGGATGTGGGTTAAGGATAAGAAAAACTGAAAGACTAAGCGAATATTTATTAGGGTAAGGAAAAAATAAACAGAAGGCCACAGAAGGCGTGGTGGACCCTACAAGGCCACGTGTGAATGTGACCAAGTCTAGAGTGACCTACCACACAGCTGCCTCATCCCAAGAACAACCAGAGCTTCTCGAGGACATGGGGCTGGGGTGTAGCTCAGGGTTAGAGCATGTGCTCAGCTCTCATTAAGGCCCTGGGTTTAATTCCCGTCACCAAAAAAAAAAAAATACAAAATGGGCCTCATGATGGACAAATGTCAAGAACCACTTTTGAGAATGGCATGTACCCTCCCCAGGCTCTGTACGATTCATAGAAAAATAGTTAAAAACTCAATAAGCCTAAAACCTGTAGGGAGGCTAGAAGGAAAAGACTAGAACAAAATCTAGGAATCTTGTCACAGTTGGCCCTGAATGTCCACAGATTCTATATCTTCAGATTAAACCAATTGAGGATTGAAAATACTCCAAAAAACCTGCATCTGCACTGAATGCATACAGACTTTTTTCCTTATTATTCCCCGAGCAATAGAGTATAACAATTATTTACATAGCAGTAAATCACATCAGGCATTAGAAGTCATCTAGAGATGATTAAAGTATACAGAAGGATGTACATAGGTCATATGCAAATACAGCTCTGTTTTATATAAATAGAGACTTGAGCATCCTAAGATTTTGCTATGCCTGAGGGGTGCTAGAGCCAGTCCTCCTCAGATACCAAGGGAACACTCTCATACCAAAACAACATCAAGGTTTACCAAAACAAAGAATGAAGTTACTCAGATAATTAATCGCCATTCACTGACTTTCTTAAGTAGAGACATGTAGTTGGGCATAATCAGCACATTTGTGCATAAAAAATTAATTGCTTGTTCAGAAAGATAAGAGATTAAAAAGGCAAGACTAGGGAAGATTAAGTACTTGAACAGCAGCTAAAAATTCTATCAAAATCTTTCAAAAAGCATAAAAGGAAGAATGCTGAAAATATATTACTGATTAAAAAGTCTCAACTTTAGAGGTTTGGTGGGAGGATTGTGTAAAGATTAGAAAAAATGAAAATAGTGTAGCTACCAAAATGATATGGGTTGGATCTTAAATGTCCCCCAAAGGACATGTCTGGAAGGCTTGATTGCCAATTTGCGGCACTATTGGGAGGGAGTGGAACCTTTCCGAGACAGGGCCTAGTCAGGTCTAGGACCCAGGGAACAGGCTCCCTCCAACATGTATTCCTGCTATGATGTACTATGCCACCACAGGCTCAAAGCCACAGGGCCAGGTGACCATGGACTGAAACCTCTAAAACCCGGAGCCAAAACAAACTTTTCCTCCTTTTAAGTCAATTTTCTCAGGTATTTTGTCAGAACAACGACAACCAGAACTACAATCCAGAAGAAAAATGTGTGCCAAAAAAATATTTATGGAAATGCTCCCCAGTGAAATATTTTGGCAGGAGGTTAGAAAAACCATCAAAATAGCCTTCAACTGGACAATTCTGGATCTTAATGACTCTTGTGTCACAGCCAAATGCACAAGAGGTTATACAAGTTGAATATACCTCATTTGAAATGCTTGGGATCAGAAGTGTTTTAGATTTCAGATTTTTCGGATTTTGGAAAATTTAGATCTACATAATGAGATATCTTGGGGATGGAGCCCAAGTCTAAGCACAAAGTTCATTTATATTTCATATGCGCTTTGTACACACATACATAGGCTGACGGTAATTCTAAGCAGTATCTTTAGGGTGCCGTGTTTAGACAGCAACCCCTCATGAGATCAGATGTGGAATTTTCCACCTGTGGCATTGTGTTTGTGCTCAAAAACTTTCAGATTTTGGAAGCGTTTTGAACTTTGGGATTAGGGAAGTTCAACCTGTAATTACAACATGGCTCCAATCAGAAGCCTGGTTTTGATACCTAAAAACAAGTCCTACCTCCCCTCATTACCAAAAATAAAACACTCAAACAGGCAAACTGCTCTCCCCTTGGCTCTAAGCCAAACTGATCATTGGGTCAGGTCATTAAATCACATGTAATCAACAACATGTGTAAGGAATTATCCTAAAAAGATATCGCCAATCTGTTTTAAAAAAAAACCAAGCTCTTTGGTTTTGTTGATAATAAATCAGGTTTTTGTTTATAATTAATCGATTCAGTTTGCAAAGCTGATCACACAGTGATGTGTGCATGAGTCCACAGTACATACACATTAGATATTATACGTATATGAACAGGGAAATATCATAGAGGGAAACAAAGGAACACAGCAGGGAGCTTGCCTCCCCGCAGGCCCAGCCATTAGCGGAGCAGCCTGGGCACCCTGCCTGATCTCAGTGTCCTCTTCCTAATCTGTGAATGAAATAGCTAGGTCCATGTTTCCTCCTGGAAGAAACTGTCAAACCAGGAGACAAGCTTCAATCCCCATCAATCTGCACCTCAAACTTACTGTGAGGTAATACTCTAAAGACCACAAAAATGTAGAGTTTGACAAATGACCCAGTTGTAAGCAAATAATGCTAAAGCAGAATTACTCCTCAGACAGATATGTCAATAGCCCTTTTCTCTTCCTACATGTAACTAAAGCCTTTATTTATGTCATTTACCCCAGCTGCTTTGAACTGGAGTAATTTCAGGTTGCTCATAAATATTTTTCAATCCCAACACCCAAATTTAAAAAACATGCTCTACTTACAGTTACGAATGTCATTCCAGTCGATTTTAGAGAAGAAAGGGTGGCAACAGAGGCCCTCAAACTTCAACCTTTCTCTCTGGCCACACAACAAACTTTGAATGAGATCAAGGAATCCACTGCTCACTTTGGGGTCATCCGGAAATTTCAAAAACCGCTGCTCCAAAAAAAATACAATAATTCATTTCTTTAGCAGTGATTCAATTTCTCATATCCCAAAGAATATTTCTCATATATGCAAGTTTTCTTTTTACTTTTTTTTTTTTTTAAAGAAAGTTTTATATCCTCTTAACTTTGGACCAAAGGCATGTTCTCAAAATAAGTGGCCTATTCATATCAATAGGCCTGGTTCCTTTGTAGGGGCTTCATCTCCTCCTCGGCTTGACCTCTGCTCCCCTCTCCAGCTCATCTTGCATGCTCCACATCTCTCTCTTTGCTGTCCAACAATGATGAGCTATTTAAAGTTCCCTGGACACATCATGCTGTTCTCCCGGCCTAGAACTCCCTCCCCACCCACCAGCCTTCCCTGGCACCCTTTCCTACCCTGGTGCTCATTTCCACAGGCTCCCTCTGTACTCTGCTCTTGCCCTGACACAATGTACTGCAGTTTTTGACTGATGATGAGAAAGGGCAGTGAGGGCCTCCTTGCTCATCACTGGGAACCCAGTACCTCCCGGTATCTGCTACAATTCACTTGTGACTGAATTACTCAATGAGTGAGTGAACTGAAATGAAGAATGAAGGAAATAAATCAGCCCCAAGAGTCATCTAAGGGGAAACTTCAACTCAAGAGGAGACTCAAGAATAACAATGTATGTACATTAAGAATGTGTATTAACCATTCCAGGAAGATGAAAATTGAATGAGATATGAAAACCTAAGAAATAAGTTCCCTTTTTGCCTTTTGGTTGAAACTGAAAACTACATATTTATCATATCCTTAAGAATGAGCTTATTATAGTGAAAATTACAGTTATTAGAAAACAGGTGATCCTTTGCTTGTTTTGGGTTTTATTTTTTTGCAGTACTGGGGACAGAACCTAGGCCTCTCCATTTTAGGCAAGTGTTCTACTACTGAGCTACACTCCCAGCCCAGAAAATACTTTTATTTTACTTTATATACATATATTAATATAATTCTAATTAATTTTCTTATTCAATTTTACTACATATTTGATAATTCTCAGAAGCAGTACAACATAAAATCAAGAGCATGGGCTTCAGAGTCGGGCTGCCTGTGTTATGTGGGGCAAGTTACATAACTTCTCTGTGATTTGGTTTTCTCATCTGCAAATGAAAATTATCATAATAATAATACCTACCTCAGTGTTGTCTGAAGATGAATTAAGCTAATAAACTATATTTCATCAATTCAAAGACTCACATTTATGCACATTTAACAGAAGTGAAATCAAGATGCATTTTATAATCAATAAAAATATTAAAATTAATTGGCAGCAGTTTTTCTTTTCTAGTGATACATGAAATAATGACATAGTCTTACAATTACTGGCAATTACAATTATAGTTTAATTCTATGAACTATAATTAATAAAGTGTTAGCACAGCTTTTGGCACAAAGTGAGTGTCATGCTGGTTTACACATAAACATTCATTCACACCATTTTTAAACGGCATTTCTCAATGTTACTTTGAAATCTAATGGCCCTTTACCTGGAAGTTCATGATGTTATTGAAGGTTCTGGCTGAGGTTCCCTCCGTGAATGGGGTTCTCCCATAAACCATTTCGTAAGCAATGACTCCCACGGACCACCAGTCACAGTCTGTACCGTAGACACCTTTCCCGTCCCCATTCATAATGGTCAGCACTTCAGGAGCCATGTAATCTGGGGTCCCAATCGGGAGTTTGGAGTTCACCTAGAATCCCATCAGTAAACTGAATTCAGCAAACTTTCAAGTGTCCTCAAGTAGAGTGCCAAAGCCACATCAGACCCAAGCTGATCTGCCACTGATCAAACCTCTGTCAAGTAGCACATTATCAGGAAACGCAAACATTTACTAATTTTCTTTTTTTAAAGCGCACAATACAATCCAAAGGCAGCAGGACAAAATGTGTTGATGACCTTCACCCCTTGGTTGTACAAATGGAAGCTGGGCATGTGGCATCAATGAAGGTGTTTCCTGGTGTCTCCTGATACAGGTTCCTGATTTGCTAGAACTTCTTTTACTTAAGAAAACAGCAAAATGATTATAAAGCCTAACAAGCAATCTAGAAGATCAGTCTAACCATCACTAAGGAACTGGCAGCTAACAGGCAATGTAATATTACAAATGCAGGTTAGATCTCAAGTTCAAAAAAACTGGGAAATAGATTCTGGAATCCGCATTCCCATGTTAGCCTGCCCGCAGGGTGTGACATGACCAATACCTTCCACCCAGCGTTGGATGTTAATAAGTTCATTTTCCTCACCTCACTCTTTCTCCTGTGATCCCTCCCCACTGTTTAAAACCAATCCAATGGTGCCCCAGCACCTGACCTTGGGAAGGCATTAGGACAACGTAGGAAGTGTTTTCATAAAGGTAAAAGTATTCCATTTTTAGGAACTGTCCTTTTCTCCCTGAGAATTTGTCCTTCTGGATGTTTTAGTGTTTAAATGTGCTTTGTTTCTTGAAATGATGCTGATGAAAGAATTAGGTCTTCTGCCCCTCATTCCAAACCACTCACTGGGGGGCCCCGTACGTGGCAGCCCGTCTGGTCTTCAAAATTGTTTTGAAGTTTTAATGAGCCATGAAATTTGAAGTCTGAGGATCACCTGTCTAACCTCCCTCCCCATCAAAACAGGAAGGCCCTGACTTTAGTCACATACCACGTTAACCAGATGTCCTATTACCCCACGTGGCAAATGGGCTTCTCTCGGGTCAACAGTTAAATGGTATGAAAGAACCTTCTCCTCATTAAAGGATGTTAAGTGCCCCCGAGAAAGCCCAGAGATTGGGGGATATGGCCACACACCTGTAAGACTGGACTTCATATCAAGAAAGTAAATTTGCTTTGCTTTAATTGGGTATTGAGAGAAAAGGGAATGTTTAGAGAGGACACTGTGAGGCCTCCTTTCCCCAGTGATACTGGATGAAGCTCTTCCAGCCCGAAACTAAGCTTGTTCATTCCTTTGACCGAGATCCTTTTATTAAAAGAAATGAGATTTTTCTGGAATTCTCCCATCTCCTCTCATTTTATACACACACACACACACACACACACACACACACCCCAATATGTGTGCAATACAGGAATATATAAATCATTCCTATAATTCTCCCGTCCCTCTTCCTTATCCCTTTCCCTTTCCTCAGGCCCACATTCTGATACAGGATTCTGGGCTAGGAATGGGCTCAGTGACAGAGCACTTTGCTGTGCACAAGGCCCTAGGCTCCATTCCCAGCACCAAAAAAAAAAAGTTCAGTGGTGTAGGTTCTTCCCATTTCTGACACTAATCACCATTGCTTTGGGCAACAGGATCTCCTCTACAAGCCCCCACTCAGGAAAGCTGGACAGTCCGATCACCCAAGAAACCCACAAGCAGACCTGTGCTAAAGGACAGAAGTGAGAGCGAAGGGGCCACATTGTGGTCCAGACCGAGCCACAGCATGATTGAGGCTTAAGTCGAGGAAGGGAAAGCCTTGATATTGGGAAGTCTAAGCCAAGACTCTGTCCTATGAGCTCAGCACAGGGTTAGGATTAAACTATAGGATCTTGGCAAAAACCACAATCCTAGCACTGAGCAAGAGGTATTCTTTAACAAAACAAGAACTGTCACATCTTGGCTTAGCTAAATAATAATAATGTCACTAGATTGTTGATCAAATGCCTAATTACCTTGCAGGACCAGAACTACACAGTTGTCAAATAAGCACTATAGGATTTTATTTTATTTCCATATAGGCTGTTCCACAATATTGCTTTCCTTGTTTGCAGCTGACAGGACAGAGTCACTGGTTCACATCCAGAGAGTTAAACTTGACTTGGTAACATATCAGGGTGACCCAGTCAGAAAGCATAAAATATCAATGCCTCATTTTAAAACTAATGATTAGACTTATTAAAAAGAGTCAGATAACACATACCTTGCCCCATCATAGGTATGTGATTAAATATATTTACATCCAACAATTTTCTAAATTTCATTATTAATTTAGAAAGCTATGACAGGAAAAAAAAAATACCAACTGGCTTGCTCACTATACAATTCCACATAGTGTTTACTTGCCATTAAAAAGACTTCTAGTGACTGACCATTAGTCACTGACCTCCAAGCACCTTAACCTGGTCAACACACACATAAACTTACATGTCCTGATGGGGATTTTGCAGTATGCTTTCACTCTCCTCTGGTAGCAATTCAGCCAGCTAAGCTGAGTGAGATGTTAAAAGTGAACATGCACCTGGAGTCCAACGTGCCCACAGCACACTATTCCACAAGGCTCCAATAAATTTGGTTAATTTTTACTATATTGACAGGGAAAATAAACCAGCTCAGCAGGAGACAATAAGAAAGTGGCCAGGGGACAGAAGAGTCTGCTATATTTGAGGAAACAGAAGGAAAAGGAAAGAAAGGAAGGGAGGGAGGGAAAAAGAAAAGGGTTAACTTAGCAGACTCTTATACCAAAAGCAAATGAGGAAGTAAGAAAACCATCCCAACCCCTTTTCATAAAATGCTTACATGTAAAACTGTTTAAAACCTAAGTCTCTCCATCTAGATGCCCAGGGCATACACACACACCTGCAGAAACAGGGAAAACGGAATTCTCACTATGTTGTTCCTCTTGTGCAAAAGAAAATTACATCTTTTCACTCCTACGTAAATCTAAACAGGAAGAGTGCCTATGGGCTTCCAACTGCTCAAAGGGGCTCTTTATTGCTGAAAAATGCTACAATGTGCTTAACTAGAATCTCCTTACAACTCTTTTCAAGAAAGAAGAATAACCGATTGGAACTGGGAGAGGTTTACCAGTCTCTCAGATTCTTATAAGGTGAAGTGGGTGACCCAAGTCACACAGCAGGTCCTGTGGTCACTAGGCCTCTGCTCCTACTGAATAACATAAAATACTCCAAGGTAAAACACAAAATACTTCTGAATAAGAAACTTGAGATAAAGACAATGGACAGTGGAAAAACCTCAACGTATCTAAGATTCAGAAATATCTAAAAAACAAAGTTTGGGAAAGGCAGGAGAAAGGACTGATTGACTTTTGGGTGACAGTAATTGAAATAAATGTGGATATATTTTTCTAGTATACTCTGAGTGCAGAAAATATATCCAACCTACTTTAGGCCTATAAAACATTCTATTCAAAGGAAACATATATTTAACCCTCCAACATTGATCAAAACTATTTTTTTAATTATACTAATTCTATATTCACACTTAAAATGATCTAGAATTGTAAATTATTGCTCTTCTGTAATAAAACAGCCTTTACATGTAAAATAAGGCTAAAAGTTCCCTCTTATCTATTTCTCACATTTTGACCCTAAAGGTACAGGGAGAAAAGAGGTACAATATTCTAAGTGTGCATATGCAATGATGTAACTCCCTGACCAAGATAATGGGAGACTGAGCTTTGAGCTACAAATAAACCTGAGTGCCTCCAAGAGGATCCTGCCTGGAGTGAAAGTTGCTACAATTAGAGGAACTGAAAAAGGCAATTGGCAGCACCAGAAGAGAGAAACTTGACTAGGAACTCGCCTCCCTACCAAGTGCTCTGAAGAGAGTTCCTCTAGATGTGGAGATAGGCTCTTATTCTCAATTCTTATTTACGAAGCAATGACTATGGATCTTAATCCAGTTTCCTGGGTAGGTTTTCTATGGCAAGCATGTTGCCAGCTCTGATTAATGAGCTTCTTGAGGCTTCTCAGTCTACTATAGACATTCTCAACTCAGAGTGGTAATTTTGCTCCCCTCCCTCCAGGGACATCTGGCAATGGCTGGAGACATTTTTGGTTGTCATAATTGATAGGGAAGGTACTTTGGGACCTGGTGGGTAGAGATCAGGTATATAGCTAAATATCCTAAAACACCACAATAAAGAAAAGGCAACAGAGCTGAAGTTATACTATCAAGACTACAGACATACACTGCAATTTATTCTCAAATGCATGAGTTTCTGGGTTTTAATTTTTTGAGATGGGGTCTTTCTAAGTTGCAAAGGCTGACCTTGAACTTTCAATCTTCCTGCCTCAACCTCCTGAGTAGCTGGGGTTATAAACATGTGACATCATGCCTAGCTCTGATGTGTGAGTTTATTAATGCCACTAATACAATGCATAAGTTTTTTAATCTTAGAAGACAGTTTTGTGTTATTTTTTCCTCTGCCTTAATCTACTAAATTTAATATAAGTTTTCATGCCTGTTTTGGAGTTATACTTAATTTTTCTTGCAGGGGCACTAAGGCTTAAACTCAGTGCCTTGCCAGTGCCACCCATATGCTCTACCACTGAGCTACATCCCAGTCCTTCTATATCATTTTTAAAGCATAAAATGCTTTGAATCTATAATCTTATTCTTACTGTGATGATTAAGTGAGCAGATTATAAGAACATAACTTGAAAAAAATAATAGTGCTGAGGTTGAGAAATCCTAATTCTGGACAGCATTTGGAGCCTGTTTTCCAAGGGTCCAAACATTTAAGTAAATTATCTTCAGCAGGTCTCAGGTCCTCAGAACACACAGGCCAGACGCTGAAGTAGAGTGTGTTAACCCAACTCTCAGCCTTCTCCTAGTACCAACCTAATAACACCCGCCTTTCCTCCAAAGCATTTTCAGGCAATTTTACATACTGTCCTATTCATAAAGGACTTAACTTAGACCTGGGGGGCATTTTGAAAAGCAGCTTCTAACCTCTTAATTTGTGCATTTTAACTAGAGACAATATTTTCTAGAGAAAAGAATAAAGGCCAAGTTCTTAAGGATTTGTCTAGGTCACCAAGTGGCTCAGTTGTGAAATTAATCTTAAAACCTAAGTCGATTTTCTCTTAGACCATTCTTTTTGCAAGCTGACCTCAAAATTCACATTTTAGTAAAAACTGACTTTCTTAGAGGATTTTTTAACTCTAATTTTTTTAAACTTTGTCATCTTTTTCATGAAGTGTTCTTACTCTTGATCTCAATAGCTCCACTCCTGCCTTCCTAATTAGCATGTGGAATACAGTTTAATTTACTAAAGGTCCAAGACTTAAAAATGACATTTTGAGCACTGGTTCTTGACACTTAAGGATATTTAATTCAAATGCTCTGATTAGCTTCAGTTTTGTTGCATAGGAAACAGAGGATTTGAGAAAAAGAAGGTTACATTACATAAAATATTTCAACAAAATATTTTAAAGTAAAAACGATACTACATCAGAAGTTTCTAAGAGACAAGAAAAATGAAGGCAAAAACAAAATAAACATTTTCCTTTCTTTTTAACCAAACTGTTCCTAAAGATGTTTCATATGGTCTAAAAAGGCATTATACATAAAAGGGTGCTATGAATAATTCCACATCCCCATTCCCACCCTATCCCTCTAGGAGTAGTAGTATCCTGGCAGATGAAGTCTCCAAAAGGTTGCTCATCACTGTATCCCATTATTTCCCAAATTTATGAGGCTCAAGGAATGCTTTTTTTGGCATAACCTCTATTAAGCTATTTTATTCCATTGTTACCATTTGATTTGAATTCATTTTAGCAGCTGATCCAAAATCCACCAACTTGATGTGTCCTGTTCGGTCAATGAGAACATTCTCTGGCTTGATGTCGCTGTAAGAAAATGAGGACCCTGAATTAGCACTGTGCTTGATAATCAGCAAGCAATCGCTAACCTAGGTTCTCAATCAAAGCAAGAACCTTAGTGTATGTATTCCACTGCATAGACCCTGCCTATTGATGGATATAATTGGCATACATTTTGAAAAAAAAAAAAAAGGAAGGAAGAACAGAGAAATAAAAAGGAAAAGAAGCAAATCCATGTTATTATATGGATTATTTCTCCTACAGACACATATTTTACATAACAAAACTAAGGCCAAAGAAGCTAAATGAGAACTTAACCAAGGTCATGCAACTAGCCAATGGAAAAGCTGAGCCTTTGCCCAGATTTTATGAATATTGCTCTGTCATTATATTCCCACAACATGTTCAGATTTTAAAAAACAGTATGAGTGAAGACGAGAAGAAGCACTTATCACTGAGGATTTTGTGGTGCACCTTTATGAGTTACTAATGGATAAAGTTAAAAGTGTGCTATGGTTTGGATCTTTAGTGACCCCCAAAGGCCCATGTGTTAAAGGCTTAGTTCCAAGCATGGTGCTTTTAGGAGGTGACAGAATCTTTAAGATTGGATCCTTGTTCTGTTGTAGATATGAGGTGTCTCCCAAAAGTTCATGTATGAGGCCATGCAAGAATGCTTAGAGGTGAAATAATTGGGTTATGAAGCCTTAACCTAATCAGGGCATTAACCCACTTGAATGGGTTAACTGGGTGGTAACTGTAGGCAGGGAGGATGTAGCTGAAGGCAAGGTGGATCACTGGAGTGTGCCTTTGGTGTACTCTGTCCTTAGCAAGCAGAGCAGAGCACTCTCTTCTTCCTGGTGCCAGGTCCCATGCTGTTTTCCTCTGCCACACTCTTTTTTTTTTTTTCCTTTGGACTTACAGATGGTTTTATTTAAGAGAATAGGAAGTAGAAGGAAGATGGCTCCTCGGCCACACTCTTCCACCCTGATGTGCTGCCTTACTGCAGGCCCAGAGCCATGGAGTTGCCCCTCCATGACTGAGGCTTCTGAAACCATCAGCCCCAAAATAAACTTTCCTTCTCTAATTGTTTTTGTCTTATCTTCTGGTCACAACATCGAAAAAGCTGACTAAAACAATGCCAGATCACTGGGGGCTTGGCCTCAAAGAGGGCTGTTGACCTTGGTCTCTTCCTCTGCTTTGCCCCCCACTGGTGAATAAGTGGTCGTGCTACATCATGTGCTTTTGCTGTGGTGTGTGGCCTTACCAGAGACCCAAAATGACAAGAGAAAATTCATCATGGGCTGAAACCTCCAAAACTGTGAGCCAAAACACCCTTCTCCCTTGTAAGCCGATTATCTCAAGCATTTGACACAGGGGAAAGAGAAAGCTGACTGCCCTGACGCAAAGTACACTCCATGTCTCCCTGTGGCACGCCAGGTCCTTCCACAAATCAAATTCCACGTATCTACCATATAACTCAAAGAACCCATGCAAGGGTTCCTGATCCTATTAGCTACATTAACTATTAACAGATGGTACTAGTAAATTTGGTGCTAGTAAACTTGAGAATATTACAATTTTAGATCTATTTCACTGGTGAATTCACAAGCTGACACGTCTGCCATTTTGGAAAGTTTTCTTTCAACCATTTACAGGTAAGATTGTCTAAAAACTGGATGAATCGTTATTTTGATCCTGAAATCTTTCATCCACTCATTTCCATGCAGTAACTCTTCCATGATACAGACAAATTCTCAGTATGCTATTAAGGAATCTCACTTACCGGTGTACATATCCCATCTGATGAACACTGTGAACAGCCAAAATCAGTTCAGCTAGGTAAAACTGAATCATATTTTCATCTAATTGGTCCTCATATCTATTCAAAAGTGACAGCAAATCCCCTCCAGGCTGATATTCCATGACCTGTATACAATACCAAAGTTATTAATTTTTCACACACCCCAAAAAGAGGGAATGCTTCAATTAGATCTTCCAATACCACCTGACATGTTATAATTACAATGTCTCCACAAAGCAATGAAGATGTGTGAGACATAGTGTAAGACATAGGATAAGGTCCCTGCCCTGCGGAAATTACATCCATTACCCAAGAGAACTGATATAATGAAAGACTAGTCCCAGGCACCGTGCACAACATTTGCAAGGCAAAACTTGAAAAGTTGAATTAATTCCACCTACTCCCCCATCCACCCACCCAACTTAATACCCCATTCCCTAGGATTCGGTACATACTGTAGATGGATATTCCTGGAGGGCAACAAACTCTCTTACCTCCTTTTTGCATTCCCCTCAGCATCCAGCAGAATATAGGAGGCGTGCAATAAATGCGACACTATTTTTTCCTTTTACAGACAGTGTAGAGGCAATTGACAGTCTCTATTAAAAATCTAACCATGAATATGTACCCTTTGACCTAATAATCCCACTTTTTAAAAAAACTATTTTTAGTTGTAGTTGGATGATATCTTTACTAATTTTTTAATGCAGTGCTGAGAATTGAACCCAGTGCCTCACACATGCTACCACTGAGCCACAACCCCAGCTCTGTAATTCCACTTTTAACCATTTATTATTTTATGATAATTTGCAGATAGGTAGATAAATAAGTAGATCCATTGAAGCATTGTGAGTAACAGAAAAAAAGAAAGAAAGAAACCTGGAAATCTTCCAAGTATCTATCCATAATAGCTAAATTATGATATATTGAAACGATGGGATATGATAAAGATATTAAAAACAAATGAAATCCATCTATTCCTACTACCATGGAAAGCTGCCCATGATAATATAAAGTGACATCCTGTATAGGATAAAGTATAACCTCTTTTTTATGAGGCAAAAAGTAGCAGATTTATTGGTGGATACAGGAAAAATCTAGAAGAAGAACATAAAGCTTCAGGTAAATGTTTGATTAGTTTAAATTTTTTTTTCTTTTGCCCCAAGGACCTGAAATCCTTCCTCCTTTTGAGGATAACCAGCTGTGATATTCCTGAGTCAACACAGGGCCTTCAGGCCAGTTAACCAGTTGGCAGCAGACTCCACCTGATAACTTCACCTCTTTACCTTTCAGTCTCATTCCCTGTAAACTAAGATAAGACTAAACCCCTTGCAATACTTTTTTTATATTCAGATTAAACAAGACAAGGTCCTGGGAGGTCCAGCACAGTGCCTGGTACCAACATGACGTCAGCCACCATTCAATCCCTGTCCTTCCCCTTCCTGTACTGTGGGCATGCTTTCCTGGCTGGAGAGAAGACGGGGCCCACTTTGACCACTGCTGCAACCAGGTTGACCTTCATGGAGTTTGCCTGTCCTTTGTTCTGACTTGAATTTTACTGACCATTCTACAAATGTCTTTTAAGTTATATTCAATCTTTCCTAGAAAAAGGCAAGATTCAAATAGCCTTCTTTTGAAAAACCCTGAATGTCCCAAACACTATATTCTGAAAACCAATTTTGGGATGTAAATTCTCACTATTATCCCCCCCAAAACTCTTGTTTGCCTTTAGTTAAGAATTAGAAGAAAGTTCTAGAAAGTCTAAAATAGTTGAACAGATCCCTAAATGCCCCAAACTGGTTCAGTAAAGATACCAGAAAGTCTGCCCAGCACCAGGTCAAGCCAAACCAGATCCCCCTGGGGAAGCCAGGGACTTACACATCCTCCCTGAAGGCTCCTTGGAACCTGGCAATCTGCCACATTCGCACAGCTTCTTACACTCAGCAGACACCCAGCCAGGCTCCGGACAATTACATTAGAAGAGCACGATTCCATTTACACTGCAATTACCGAAAACAACTGGATTTGTGAACTAACAAGGAGGACAACACTTAGAGGGGCAGCACCTAACATGCATACCATTTACCCAAATTCACAGCAGATGTAAGATGTTCGGCCCAGCCCTTGAACCCACAGAAGCCACCTGGTTCCCTCTAGCCACCCACTCATCCCAACCTGGCTCTCCATAGGCCCTAGGTATGTGGGTAAATGCTAATTTGTACGTCTGTTTTAAATACATATTGCCATCAAAAAAGGTCTTAAACATAAAAAAAAATGCACAGATAATAACAGAAGTACTCATACTTTCAGAACTCAAATGCCTTAAAATAAGAACAATGCATATTTATGATGACATGCTGCAGTTGTAAATTTCCTATGGTTCCATTAAAGATTTGAAAAAACAGAACAGCTTTTAAGTTTAAGGCTCAGAAAGTCAAATATATAACAGCCACTGGCAACTTCTAAGAGCTCTCAAACTGATCATTACTTGGTTCTTAGTGTCTACTCCTAAAGATTTGATTTGTTATGACCAGCAGAATAGTACAGAAAATAAGAAGCATCTCTTTCAAGACAAAGAGGATGTATTCTTTGCTCCTATTCAGAAGACTCCCTGCCAAACTACATTAATCTTTTCTATGGATCAAACAACTTTCCATCTCTCCAAAAATCCTGGATTGATGAGAAAACAACCAACAAAAACCAGCATGCTTTACTATGTTGGGCCAAAATAGACATTCTAAAAGACAAACATTTAAATAGACAGGGTCCTTATCAGAGAAACTAATCAAACTTGACTCCTGCCCCCCAACACAATTCCAGATTACAGCGTTAAAAATTGAACTGTGCACATTAGGAGAACATAGTTTGGCCATTTACTGGGTAAATTTGGCTTCTGGAACACATGGAGTCCATGGGAAAGAAAGTTTGTGCAAATCAAAAAGCTTAATCAATCATTATGCTATTAGGCTTAAAGATACAATGAAGAACCAGGACTTGGGGACTTTCAGAAACACTTTGGGACTGTTAAAAATGGTACCAAATCAAGAGACTCCAAAAGCATCACTGAAAGTCACAAATTGTAAGTCTTGAAGTCTCCACACCAGATGACCTACTGTGAAACAAAGAGCGGTGTCAGCAGATGCTATGAACTAGTTAAGTCCAACGTCATCATCCAGGCTGTCCCAGAGTCTCCGTACTGCGTCTGGTTGTATCCAAAAATGTGACTCTGACCCTGACTTTTACTACTCAGAGATGCCCAGTGAGGTGCTCACGTATCTCCCTCAGAAAAAATGTGGCTTCTAATTCAAGAAGACTTTCAGCTATCTAAAGCATGGTTTCCCAGGCCCACCTGCCCATCAGAATCACCAGAAGAAAGACTTTTTAAAAATAAGACGTATTGCCAGATGCAGAGGTACACACCTGTAAACCCATTGACTAGGATGGGCAGCTGAGGCAGAATGATCAAGTTCATGGCCAGACTGGACAACTTAGCAAGACCTATCTCAAAATAAAAAGGGCTAAGGATGCAGGGTGCAGTGGCGCACACCTGTAATCCCAGCAGCTTGGGAGGCTAAGGCAGGAGGACTGTAGTTCAAAGCCAGCCTCAGCAAAAGTGAGGTGCTAAGCAACTCAGTGTGACCTTTTCTCCTAGTAAAATATAAAATAGAGCTGGGGATGTGGATCAGTGGTCAAGTGCCCTTGAGTTTACTCCCCGATAGAAAAACAAAAGGACTAAGAATACAAAGTGCATTGGTAAAGCACCCCTACATTCAAACCCTAGCACTGCAAAAAAAAAAAAAAAAAAAAGACTATTCATCCAAATAAACACCTGAGTGCCTACTATGTGCAACTGTTCTAGATATTAGGAATAGAGCAGTGAATAAGACAAAAATCCCTGCCTTCATGGCAGGCATCCTAGTGGAACAAAACAGAATTTCAGATGATAATAGTCATCATCATCAACAATGTGCAAAAAGAGTAACACACATCTCCTTCCCACCTCAACCACTGAGGAAGCTTGTTAAAAACATGGATTCCAGAGACTGACTGGCTCCAGACTTTACAGATCTAGCTCCATGGGTGGAGTCCAGGAACCTGAATATTTAAGGAGCTCCTAGGGTGATTCTGATGTAGCTTAGTCCAGCACTGAAGTGGTACCCGCTGCTGACAAGGCTGTGGAACCAGTGTGGCTTCTTATTCAAACTGGATTAAAAGGTTCCACAGCAGAGGAGAGGTACCCTTGAATGGACCTTGGCTTTAATACAGCCATCACGTCTGCTGTGCGTATTTTTTCAGTGACTACCTGAATATCAAGACAAGATCACTGACAACAAAGGGCTGGAAAATAACCAGTCCATCAGCACTGAAGCGATGAGCTTCCATCCTTGCAAGGACTGAAGATGTCTCCTGCACACAATGAGCAGCTGTAGGTCACCCCGATGGTGATCACCAAGGACAGTAATCAGAAGCAGACAGACAGGAGGGGGGAAGAGCCCTCTAGTGAAACAGCCCTAAACAATGTGGCAACCCTGCTGACGGCTGAGAAAGCGCAGCAGCTGACAGACGAGCCCGAGCCCGGCTTGGAGCTATAATGGACTTGCTCTTTTAAAACAAAGACTTTCAGGCCAACAGAGACAGACCCTTCTGATGGCAGCAGCTGCAGATGCTAATTAAAGGGCAAATCTTACATGTGTTCAGTTTGGAAGGAGCGGATGCTTCTCTGTTGGTGTTTCCATCTATACCCCAAGTACTGAGATAGCAATTTCCAAGCACTGCATTGAATTTAAAGTGAAGGACAAATGCAGACCCTCATGCATGCTAGTGTGCCCGGGCGTGCTTGCATGCACACACATGCATGTGGGGGGGGGGGAATGAATGTTTAACAGTTCTTTAGTACTGCTACGGTTTGAATGTGTCTCCCTGAAGTTCCTGTGTTGGAAACTTAACCCCTAAACCCATACCTTTTTTAAAAAAATATTTGTAGTTATTGATTTAACTCCTTCCTTCCTTCCTCCCTCCCTCCCTCCCTCCCTCCCTTCCTTCCTTCCTTCCTTCCTTCCGCTGAGAATCAAACCCCCAGTGCCTCACACATGCTAAGCAAGTGCTCTACTACTGAGCCACAACT